GGGACACCGCCCGTGCTAGTCATTCATTTGCGCGGCGGCCGCCGACGAGGGGGCGACGGCCAGGGCGGCGGCAATCTCACACGCGTAAGATTGCACCGGCGGGAGCTTCACCTGCACGCCGGAGGGGGCGCAATAGCTCCCGGTGGCCAGCTCATACAGCCGGTCGACGGCCAAACCGGCCCCCGGGGCGTCACCACGCCGAGGGAGGGCCACCTGCGAAGACCCAACCCGCCGAGGAAGACGCGAGCCATGGACGGCTGCCACGCCGCCCAGCGGTGTCGACACCAGGGCCGTGGCGGTGCTGCGCGACCGGCCGGCCGCCCCGGCGCCTGCGCGCGTGGCCGCCCGGCGCATGCGCTGATGGAAGAGACCCGCTCCGGTGCCGGCGGCGGGTGACGGACCGGCCGCCTGGTGCACGGCCCGCGAATCCGCGTGACGAGACGCCGTGTACAGAATACACGCCGCTAGGTAGGCCGTGGCTGTACATGGCCGAGAAGCATGGCCCCAGGTATGTCAGAGCAGCGCACCAGGAGGGGGAGTAAAGAAATAGAGGGGGAGAGAGAGAGAAAGCCGGAAGAGGAGCCGGTGGGCGTGCATAATGCAAGGGGCAGCCGCGGCAGGAAGGTGGCAGGAAGGTGGCAGGAAGGTGGCTGGAGGAGGAGGAGGAGGAGGAGGAGGAGAGGGGAACGCACGCGACAAGGATGGCGGATACAGCAAGCACCAGTCGCTAGCGCGGCCAGGATCGACCTGCGAGGCCCCGAGAGCACAGCCGTCCGGAGAGGCAAAGGCAATTGCCATGCCTGCCAGGGCATCGGCCGACACCGGCAACTCATAGTGCTCAGCCAGATGCGCCTGCCACTGGTCGGCCGATGGGACTGCCGCCCGGCATTGGCCGTTCCAGCCGCAGAGCGATCCGGCCTTGGGGTCTCCGCTGCCCGGGCCATGGGCCGTAGCCAGATGTGCGGCCATGGCCGACTGCGAGAGGCGGCTCTGGTCGCAGGTGCGCGCCGCCGCCAGTGGGCAGGCAAGCGCCCCGGCCGATGGCACGCCGGGAAGCTGCGCCAGCTCTGCGGCCTCGATGGCATTGACCAGTCTGTGGGGGGGCGTGGATGAGTGCGTGTGTGTGTGTGAGAGAGAGAGAGAGAGGAAAGGGCGCTGCCCGAAGAGGGGAAAAGGGAGACATAGAGGAAGAAGGGGGGGGGGGCGATGGAAAGGGAGGGCAAAGAAAGAAGGTTGCGCACGCGTCTTCAGCCAGGGGCTCGGCATCCGGCAGCAGGGCCAAATGCAGGAAGCCTGGAATGCCGGGCGGGAGGACCTCGGAATGCCCGGTGTTCACGAGCGTGGTCCCCGGCAACAGAAGGGCCACCGCTTCGGAGATGTGTGGGGTGGAGGTTGTGAAAGTGATGCGCCGCTGCAGCGCGTCTCTGAGGGCACGAAGGTGCGTAAGACGGGTCCCGGTCATCATGGACGGGTTGGCCTCGGCTTGGTTGATGAGCTGCTCAAGTGCAGCCAGGCGCCCGGCAACCAGGGTGATCAGCCGCGAGGAGAGCTCCGCCAAAGGGAGCGAAGACCGAGGGCAGGGCCGGGCCACGCGCGCGACCCTGCGAGTGAATGCCACGCTGTGTGAGTACGCCAATGCCGATGGCTGGCCGGGAGAGGGGGGCGGCGGAGAGAGAGAGAGAGAGAGAGAGAGAGAGAGAGAGAGAGGGAGGGAGAGGGAGGGAGAGCAGCGAAAGGAGGGGAAGCAGGTGGTGGTGGCCGCGGCGAACCCAGGCGAGACCGAGGGAAACAGGCAAAGAGAGGTGCGCACATGAGAGAGAGCCATCGAATGTCGCGGGACTCCGACACCGTGACCAGCGGCTGCATCGGGGCACCATGTGCCACGTCGTCAGGCTCCGACATCTGCACCAGACGCTGCATGAGCTCCTTGCCATCGGCCACCGCGGCCACCGCGGGCGCGCTCGACACCGGCCGCGGCTGGTCCAGCGTATTCAGATGAAGCTGCGCATCCTCCATCAAGCGCAAGAGCGAGCTTGCCAGGGTCACCTTGGCCGGTGGGGGGAGCCCTTGGCCCGCGGGACTCTGGGGCCCGGCGAACAGGGCGTCCAGCAGCCCATCCAGGCCCGCCTCGCGCGCGGTAGTGCCTGATGCCAGGAGCTGCTTGAGGGGCAGCACGGCGGCCGGAGCCCCGCCGGGGGCCAGGCCACTCGCCGGGCCCTGGAACAGGGGAGTATCGATGATGGCCGAGGCAGCCAGTGGCCCGCGAGCCACCGCGCGGTTGATCGTCGCCAAGCATGCCACTACCAGGCCCATATCCTGTGGCGAGGCGGGGAGAGAGAGGGTGGGGAGGGAGGGAGGGAGGGAGGGAGGGGCCGGAGCATGTGTGTAAGTGCATCCCGTGGTCAATCAAATAACTGGGCACCCAAGAATCGGGCACAGACACAGCAGGGCGGGGGGGGGGGCGGGAAACGCCCACAGCTGGCCGCCGAGAGGGCCGTCTCGCCAAGGAAGCGCGCAACATCGCCCGCGTGGACCATGTGCCGAACGGCCCCGGGGTCTGACCCATCGGCCAAACTCGGGTTGGCCGATGGGGGGCTGGCCCCGGCCGGCAGGCAGACCGACGGGGCGCAAACAAAGCCGGCAGCCGCACGGTCAAAGCGCCGCGCGTGGGTTGCCGACAGGCCCCACACTCCGGCATCCAGGAGGTCTCCGTCGGAATGGACCGCCCGCCAGCCGAGCACATCCACCGCCCACAGGAGAATGGCCCGGTCGCGCGACGCAGGGCCGCACATGACAAAGTGATGGTCGCGCTCAGCCCCGCAGGAAATGCCCGGCCGCTTGGCCGAGCCCCGGGCCCGGACCCGGACCACCCGCCGCAGGGCACCAATCGCATGAGCCACACGCACCAGGATCGGACAAAGACCCGGGACATCGGGCCCCGCATCGTCGGCCGGCGGGGCTGGCGAAGTGGGCGACAGGGGCGGAGACACGGCATCCTGCGAGCCACCAGCCCGGCCGCCCGGCTCGGCTGACGCGCCAGCCTGGGTGGTGGCCGTTCCCGCCGCAAGCGCCTGCCGCCGCCGCCGCCGCCGCTGGGCCACCAACGGGAGGAGGCGCTTGCTGGCAGCGGGGGGGGCCGGTGCGGCTGCACCGCCCGCGGCGGGAACGGCCGCCACGGTAGTCGCGGCCGGCGGCCGGTGGTCCCCCGGCGTGGTGGCGATCGGGTGCCCGCTGCTCACCAGTGCCAGGAGGCCGGCACGCCCGGCCGCCGCCGCCGCCACCCGGTCCGACAAGCCGAGCGGCACCTCCAGCCAGGCCGCGCTCCAAGCCGAGGTCGTGGGTGAAACGGTGTCCGAGCCGGCGTTGGCACCAGGTACCGGCTCCTGGGCGTCCCAGCCGAGGTCGGTCAGTTCCAACAATGCCCGCACGGCCAGCCGGCTGCCGGCCACCAGCGCCGGGTCCGACATGGCCAGGGTGGCCAGCACTCGGGCCGACAGAAGCGTCACCCGCGAAAGGGGAGCTGCCAGTCGGCGGTCACAGGGGGGGAAGGGGCGGGGGCACAGGACCCATGGAGGTTAGCCGAGGCAAGGTACATGGCGCGGCCCATCGACGGGGCGGGGGAGGGGGGGCTTGTGCATACCGGAAGATGCGGCATCCGAGACGGCCAGGCGCAGGCCGCCGACCACGCAAATGGGCTCCAAGAGGTCCGCCAAGCGGATGGACGAGGTGAGAGCTAAGCGTCGAGGAGTAAAAAAAAGGGGGGGGGGAGGGGGCACGGGCCCGGTCAGTACAGGCACATGTGCAGGGCGCTGGCCCCCATGGAAGGGGGGGCAAAAGGAAGATGGGTCGGGGGAGGGGGCAAGGCATGTCGTCAACGAACAGTTGGCTGGAGCCACCGAGGCCAGACGCAGGAGACCCTGCAGGGCCCAGGTCACCTCGTTAAATAGCCGCGACTTGAGTGCCATGCGCAGGCGCGTGGCCACCAGCGTTCGCGGACCGAGAGCGGCTTCGAGACAGGCAGAGGTTAGTTGACAGCCGACTGCAAGGCCAGCAGCGACAGAGGAATGGGACTGGAGTTCGGGCGGCGGCGGGGGGGGGGGGGATGCCATGGACGCACCCCATGCGGCCGCCTCTTCCTGGGCACGCCACTCCACGGCGAAGGCCCCGTCCATGCTGGCCGGCGTCGACCGGTCCCGAGGGTTGGCCATGGCGTAGCGCAGGGCCTGGGTCCGCTCGAGCCAGACCCCGGCCCCGCAATTGACAGGCGGTGCGGGGACCTCCAGATGCGCGGTCTCCTCCCGGCCGAGCAGCAACGCCCCGGGCCGGGCAAGGTTCAGCAGGGGCTGCGCTCCGCTCAGGGCCTCGGCCAGGGAGAGCCGGCCCACAGGCGCCAGGGACCGCTGCCACCGGTCGCGGATGATGGCCCCAAGAGAGGCAGCCGCCGCCGGGGTCGGGGTCAGTGACGTCACAAGGCTCAAGTTGGCAGAGTCGGCCGGGTCCATGCCCAGAGCCAGGCCAACCGCAATCACGGGCCAGAGCCCGGTGGAGGATACCTTTCAGCAGACAGGGACAGGCGGGAGGGGGGGTCAGGAAACACGCGCACGGCAGGGGGGGGGGGGGGGGGGGGGCGGGAGAAGCGTCCCGAGGGGGGGGGGGGGGGGGGGGGGGGGAGAGAGAAACGTACCAGGTCCGCGCCGCCATAATGCTGCACCGCGATCACCAGCGCCAGGAGCGGGACCGACAGCGGGGCCACTTGGGGAACGGCGGCCGGTGTCGCACCCCCCGGGCCCAGAGTGACGGCTGTCTGGGGAAGGGCAATGTCGGCCGCGAGGGCACGCGCCCGGGCCAGGATGGCCGGTGAGGCAGTGTGCCCAGGCCCGGCGAGCTCTACTAGCGAGGCAGCATGCCACTGGACAAGGTGCTCCCGGAAGGTGGCCGCCGCCTCGGCCGACACTGGGTGCCACCATTGTCGAGTGGGGACTGGGGCCGGAGTCGGGATCGAGGCCGGGACCGGGACCGGGACCGGGGCCGGGACCGGGGCCGGGGTCACGGCCAGATCCACAGCCGGAGCTGAAGCAAGGGCCGAGGTCCCAGCTGGTGATGGATCCGCCGACGCGTGGGCTGGGGCAGGGCCAGGGGGAAACGCCGTGGCCCCTGTCGCTGGCCCCGCCGAGGGCGCAGGCGACATTTGAGCTGCTGCTGTTGCTGCTGCCGCGGCTGCGGAATTGTCGAGGGGCGAACTTGCAACAGCTGGCGTGATAGGACTGGACACCGGCAGCATGGAGACCGACTGCAGTAACTGCTGTGGCTGCTGCTGCTGCGGCGGCGGCGGCGGCGGCGGCTGCTGTTGCTGTTGATAGTGGTGGCTGTGGAAATTCACCAATCCAGCCGGGGGAATGGCTCCAAGCAGGGGGACCACGCCGGGGCCGGAACCAGCGGCAAAGAGGCCGGTCGGATTGGCGACCGGTCGGGCAAACATGCTCATCAGCGGCCTGGGACTCGCTGGCGGGCTGGCCAGTGGGAAGGCGCCGGGGCCGAGGTGCTGCATGCCTCCCGGGGCGGGGCTCGGGGCTGTCGCCGCCGCCGCTGCCGCCGCCGCCGCCGCCGCCGCTGCCAACCCCATACCCAGGCTGCCAGGGTGGCCCTGGACAAGGCCATGCCCGGTGGGGGGCACGGTATTCCCACCTGGGGGAAGCATTTGCCCCCAAGCACCCGGAGGGAGCTGGAAGTTGCCGCCGGCCCCAGGCCCGGCACCGCCCACAGGCGAGTTCATCTGGCTCATCGTGTTAGCCGCGCGGTCAGGCAAAATACGGCCGTTAGCGTTTAGCAGGCCGGGTGGGGGTGTCGCATTGGCAGGGGGCTGCATGAAGCGCCCGACAGGGAGGGGGGAAGGG